TTAAGAGTGTTGTGCCAGTAACCGAAAGGTCGCAGGTTCTAATCCCCGAGCCGACTAGGTGAAAAATCTGTCGATGTGCCCTTGAGCAAGGCACTTAACCCTAATTGCTCCTGTAAGTCGCTCTGGATAAGAGCGTCTGCTAAATGACTAACATGTAATACAAACCCCCCAAAAATCAATTTTAATTCCAAAATAGGAAAAATGCCAAGGGGGGTGAATACTTTCGCAAGCCACTGTACACAATCCATTGTCTCAAGGCTTAAAATTCCTTCTTTAACCTGTCTCCTCCCTTCATCTACACCAGGGTTCTTCAATTCCGGTCCTGGAGGGCCGAAACACCTCTGTTTTTCATCCTCTCCTTCTAATCAGGGGCTAATTCAGACCTGGGACACCAGGTGAGTGCAATTAACTACCAGGTAGAAATAAAAAAAACAGAAGTGTTTCGGCCCTCCAGGACCGGAATTGAAGAACCCTGATCTACACTGATTGAAGTGGATTTAACAAGTGACATCAATAAGGGATCATAGCTTTCACCTAGAAAGAGCAGATGTTCTTAATGTTTTGTACACTCGCCTCCCAGTGGGCAAAAGTTGGTTGCAATCATTATGACAATATTATGTGAAGTTGTTCAGGTTGTACACTGTTTGTAAAGGAACAAGTCTTTTAGCAACCAGTAAAATGTATTTTACATGGTTGTTATCTGGTGATACTGTAGGACATCTCAGCCAGAAAACCAGTTTACAACCAGAATATGATACCATTATGATGTTGAATGCTACCTGCTGGGCTGTGTGTTTGCTGGAAGAACACTTCTAAAACATAACACCATATAGCCCTATCAACAAGAAAGCACAAGAAAAACACGTCAAAAAAGATGACCGACCCTTGGCCCTGTAACAAAACAATGACACGCTTCCAAGAATAGAGATGAGGACTGGTGATATGATCAGTAGATCAAGGTTAAGGTACATTGGTAGCTTAAAGTCACTGGTGCATTCAAACTGTTTGAATGATCTGTGTGTTGTTTTAACAAACAGTAAGAATAACAATCCTATCCCTTTCATACATTACGAGCAACATTTTCATGATGCAAAATAGTGATGATGCGAAACACAGTAAAACTAATTTTAATCTGGCAGTGTGATTTCATTTGATACCTTTCTTCAGAAATGTGTGTTTATGCATTGCTGAGATTACTAAACTCAGTTAAATAATCATATTTGTATCATGCATATTGTTGAGGAAATGTGTTAAATTGAATCACACAGCTAGATTATTATTTTGAGTTTTAAGGTATGTTTTGCACAGATGTGAACTGTTTTGCAGCATGAAAACGTCACCCTGTGTCTTTAACATACTAAATGTACATTGACTTATCAGGAGATTGTGTGTGGCCTTCCTTTGCAGCAAGGAGGGATACATTCCCAGTAATTACGTTGTGGAGGCTGGAAATGAACTGGAAAAGTTTGAGTGAGTATGGAATTCTCTTGCTACAAAACATTGACTATTAAACATTGCATTATAATGATAGGATTGCATCTCAAACCCTACACCTCTCCAATCCTGTGGGAACCAAAAATAATGAGGTACCAAGTCACCACACCTTCCGAACACATTAAATCCCTGCAGGGCCGTGTTCAGTGGGGCACGCAACAGAAAACGCTTCAAAACATTTTGCAACTGAATGCGAAAATGTGCATTTCTTATTGGATGAATCAAGGTAGTCCCTTACTGTTTCAATCCGTTTTCTTCCTTTTAGTGCCTAATTAACACAACTCAGCAGAATACTGCCTCATGTGACCTGCTTTAATACTCATTTGCTATGAGGTCATGTCAACCATAGTGGTTTATAACATGCACATTTCACCTTCTCTTTTTCCCAGCTGGTACCGCAAGAGCATGAACCGCAGCCAGGCAGAGAATCTGTTGAAGACAGAGGTAATCTCAATGGAAAAAAAAACATCTGTAACATACAGTATTAGTTGACATACTACTGTTCCTCTCCTTTGCTTACACCAGCAACACAAGTGGATGCACTGCATTTAAAATAATTGAGAATAACACAAAAGTTATTTATATTGTGGTCCTCTGATCTGTGGTCCTTATACTATAGCTATGGGCACCAATTTTCTTTGTGGCATCATCTGTCAAATAGCTTAGAATGACAGAATGTTGCTATGGGATACTCACAAAGCAATACAAAGCAATGCTGCCTCTGCGTTGTATGTACCTTTGCTATTGAGGTTATTGTTTTTTCTTTTCCCAGAACAAAGATGGTGGTTTCTTAGTACGAGACTCAAGCAAAGTTGGGAAGTACACAGTTTCTGTGTTCACCAAGGGCGGGTGAGTTCATTGAGGGCAGACAAATGGGGCATGGCTAACTGTGTCTGCATCGCAAATGGCACCCTATTCCCTTTATAGTGCACTACTTTTGACTAGAGCCCAGGGGGTGCCATTTAGGACACATCCTGTGTGTAGGCCTATACACTAGCCAAAACTGTGAATGTGTCCAAAATGGTACACTATTCTCTATGTATTGACTATTTTTGACCATAGGGCTCTGGTCTAAAGTAGTGCACTACATAGGAATTGGATGCATTGTCAAACGCAGACCATAAATGGACAGTCAAAAGAAGAACTGCTCAGCAGTAGATAATGAAAGCGAAAACAGCCGCCTGCAGAGGAAGAGAGATGTAAATGTCTCCATGCAAAACCATGATTATTCTTTCTGCACTACTTTTCAAAGGGCTTGGGCTTCGTCCCAAATGGCAAATGGGCTCTGGTCAAAAGTACCACACTATATATGGCAGGGGTATTCAAATCTTACCGTGCGAGGTCCGGAGTACTGCTGGTTTTCTGTTCTACCTTAAACTGCTGGTGTCCCAGGCAATGTTCCCTCAAAAATTTTTTGGCCACTGAGCAAATTTCAGGTCTGCTGAGCGCAAACTTGAACGTTGTGAAAATTCTGTCCAACTACCGGCGCGCATTTACTGTGAACACTGAGGCTGTACCCGCTTTAAGTTACAGTTTTAACAGTGGCCAAGTAGGCTATTGTGGCTATTTGATCATAATGTAGGCCTATCAGAGTGGCCTACCATCAAAAACCATGGAGAAAAAGGCATCCCTTAACATTTGAACAGGAAATAGCTGTTCTATCATTCAGCCTACAGTAGCAGCAAATGTGTGGTGTTCAATGTAGGTCTACATTCCATGAGACTTTTGAAAAAAACATGCAGGGCTTGACATTAACCTGTTTATCCACTTGTCCTTCAGACAAGGTGATGGAAAATGTTGTGTTGTTTGATGCAAGAAACCACTTTATAAAATAAAATGTATTATTATTCCCATACTATCATTACAGAGAATCAGAACATTATGCTACCCTCTGCCTATTGGCTACATATCTTATTCAAGCCTGTCTCAAAATACTACACTGCCCCTTTAAAGAAAAACACTTTACCTGACTGGCTTTTCAAAGATGGCTAGAAATGCACACATGTTGTGCTCTTGTAGGAAGCAACCACTCCCCCATTGTTGACTAGAAATTAGCTATTACTGGGCTAATAACTCACTAACTAGCAAAGAATATGAACAAACGTGCAGCTCTCGCTTTGATCTCAAAACAAGCACATCTACTCTCGATCGCTCACACTGTAAACACAGTCCAGTTCAAAGTGAATGGCACAGATCCATATATGGCAATGGCTATTTGCATATAGGCCTACTGCAGCGCTGATTGGTCATGGCGCACTGGTCTGTGTAGAGTACAGGACTGAGTCGTGCCTGTCAATACAATAGAATCCTACTCCAATGCACTCTGCCTACAAGAACATCTTATAAACAGTTAGTTTAGCATACTTAGTCTTGCATAGTTCGTTTTGTTTGGGTATGTTACATTGAAAGTGGCTAATATTGCGTTGATTCGATCACAATTCCCACAGTAAAGCGAAACGTTGATAGTGTTAACTGTTAAAACTCTAGAAAGTTGAGTGAAGTTCAATCTTGTGCTTCTCTGTGCGGGTTGATATTTCTTCTGCGTGGCAGTCCGAGGGGAGCTTAGAGGGAACATTGGTCCCAGGTCTAAATCAATCCCTGATTTAGAGGGGAATCATTTTTAAAAACCAGTGTAACTGGCTTTGAGGTCCAGATTAGAATTTACAGTTTATAGGGAATAGGGTGCCATATTTGATGCAACCAATGTGTCAGCGAATGGAGCACCTTGTTGTTACTTTCAGATTCACAGCCCATGAAAAGAAACACATCTATTAAAGGGACATTACACTCCAATATCAAAGATCCGGCTATACACCACAATAGAAAAATGAACAAAAGAGATAAGAACTATGTAATTTCTAGATTTGCAGTGCTTATCTTTTACATTCATTTGGGGATGAGGCATATAACTAGATCTACACAACCAAGGGTGTGGGATGTGGATTCATATTGGCATTAGGCCCTTTTGAGGTCTAAAAATATCTGACAAACTTCAATTTTGGAGTGTTGTGTCCCTTTAAATTCCTATCCCTTTAACACAACCCTCACACCAAACATAACTATCCTCCCTCACACCAAACCTAAACACTCCTCACTGTTCCCATTAGGGAGACTGCGGGTAACTGCAGACACTACAACATCTGCACCACCCAACAAGGCCAGTTCTACTTGGCAGAGAAGCACAATTTCAGCAGCATCCCAGACCTCATTAATTACCACCAGCACAATGCAGCAGGTACAGATAACCCCAACTAAGGTTGCAAAATTCCAGTAACTTTACTAAAATTCCCAGGTTTTCCAGAAATCCTGGTTGGAGGGTTACAGATTTCCTTCTTATTCCCTCCTGATTCCGGGAATCTTCCAACCGAGATTTCTAGAAAACCAGGACATTTTGGGAAACTAACCGGAAATGTGCAACCCTACCCCAACACACCACTTCATATGCATCTGTGTAACAGTACAGGTTCATCATTATGAAATACAGCACTTAAGATATATTGTCCATCATGTCCCATTCCAGGTATGGTCAGCAGGCTGAAATACATTGTGTCAAGTCATGCAAAAAATGCCCCTTCCACAGCAGGGCTTGGGTATGGTGAGTGTGTTCTTTGAATACATTTCTATTGAGAGAGTATTATGTATATACTGTAGCCTGGTGGTCCGGTCTGTTTGTGTTCTGGCCAACTCCTCTCTGTCTGTGTTGTCAGGCTGAAGATATGTAGCTGTACCACTTGACAACAATTGATTAGTTGGCTGTGGCACATACAAAAGGGACCAGACTAGTGCAGTAACAGAAACCCTTATGGCTGACTTTGAGAAACGTTATCTGTAGCTTGATTGCTAACATGAGTAAACGTTGTGTTCCTTCAATTTGTTGTTTTGTCCTCCAGGGGTATGGGAGATTGACCCACGCCACCTCACCTTCATCAAGGAGCTGGGCAATGGGCAGTTTGGAGTGGTGAAGTACGGGAAGTGGCAGGGCCAGCATGACGTGGCCATCAAGATGATCAAGGAGGGCTCCATGTCTGAAGACGACTTCATAGAGGAGGCCAAAGTCATGATGTAAGCACAGCTCTCTCTATCTCGCAGGGGTGCAGTCAGTGGACTATGGGGTCAATTTTAACCCACATAGGCCTACAACACATGCTTAATCTCGTCTCTTTTCGCTTGAACCAGGAAGCTCCGCCACGAGAACTTGGTTCAGCTGTACGGCGTATGCACCAAACAAAGGCCCATCTACATTGTCACAGAGTTCCTCTCCAACGGCTGCCTACTCAGCTATCTGCGGGAAGGCCTGAAGCAGCACCCATCCCCCATCCAGCTCCTGGAGATGTGTAAGGACGTCACAGAGGGCATGGCCTACCTGGAGGCTAACCAGTACATCCACAGAGACCTGGTAAGATGTTATACTTATAAGTCAAATAGCTTGGGTTTTGCAGTTTGCACTTTTGGGACTATTCCACCGATTGTTCAAACTAAATCAAGCGCAGCTCACGTATTTGAAAGACACAGCAGGTCTGATCCTGATATGGTACTACTACTATCCTACACTAAACAATACTGGGCCCAAATAACAAATACTCTGTTCTGTTTCTCAGGCTGCAAGAAACTGCTTGGTAGATACCAATGGGACCATTAAAGTCACTGACTTTGGACTGTCTAGGTAAACGACTGTGAATGTTGTGCTTGATTCTGGCAGCTTTTACAAAAAAGTACACACTGCAGAAATACCTGACAAATAAATCCAATCTACAGTTGATTCTTACAGCAATATTATGTAATTCAAGCTACTTCCATTATAAGTTGACAACTGTCCCTGTCATTTCAGGTATGTCCTGGATGATGAGTACACCAGCTCTGCAGGCTCCAAGTTCCCCGTGCGCTGGTCTCCTCCTGAGGTCCTGCTCTACTGTAAATTCAGCAGCAAGTCAGACATCTGGGCTTATGGTTCGTAAAGGCCTCCTATCTTAGCCCAGATCCAGGTCCCAGATCTGTTTGAGCTGTCTTGTCAACTCAGTATGGTTGTTGTCACGCCAATGACCATATGAGTTGGCGAGAGCGAACAGATCTGGGAACAGGCCACAGCTATTTAACCTTTATTCACTCACTATTTATTCCTCTGCTGATCATTTAATACATATTGACAAGGTTACCTTGCTCTCCATAGGGGTCTTAATGTGGGAGATCTACACCTTAGGAAAGCTGCCCTACGAACGGTTAAACAACAATGAGATAGTGGACCAGGTGTCCCGAGGCCATCGCCTCTATCGCCCCCAGTTGGCCAACGACAGAGTCTACACCATCATGACCAGCTGTTGGCTGGATGTACGTACAGTATAAAGTAGCCAGAATAATGCCTGGTCACAGATCTGTATATTCTGTATGCCAAATGTTATGGTCATTGTCAAACCATGTTTGCAAAACAGCACAGTTCAGAGATCAGGCTAGATAAGTGGGGGTCAAAGATAAATGTCAGCAAAATGGACGTCAGCTTGACACCTTCTAATCTAAAACAGTCATGTCTTGTCTCTCCTCTTGCGTTGACTGGCAGAAGGCGGACGAGAGACCCACCTTTCAGGAGCTGTCGGTGACTGTTCAGGACTTGCTCCAGTAGATCCAACCACCACATTCTGAGATTGAAACACAGTTCGCAGATTCATCCCTCTGGCAGATACACTTCCTCATGCAGAGCAGACTCGAGGCTTCATTCCCACAGGGCCTCATCCATTCTGTGCATCAGCCATTGAGGAACCTGCTTTAGGAGACGTAGATAAAACTGTTAAAGAAGGTTCAGCCATCCAATGGGAAAGCTGAGAGATGCTTTATGGTTGAACATGGGACTCCCATGACGAACTCCAGTAGTGAAATAAAATATAATTTGACGAACGTATCTGTTGGTTATTGAGAACATGAAAAGAATATGAAAAGTTTTTCCTTATTTATTTCGTATGTTTTCCTTTAATACTATCATTGGTGAACTGCATTCAATAATATATATATAGGCCTATCTGTTTCTGTAAGATTTCATATTTATTTTCTATGTCTAGCCACTGAAATGCATAGTAAAAAGAAATACCCTTTATCAACTGAAAATGTAGATGTTCCTTCATGAAATTATTGAGAAAGAAAAGTAGCCAACCTTGCAGCGTCTGAGCCTCAGTATCTCAGAGAAACATATTTGCACATAATGACAACATGGATAACGTTGATAAAGCTAAATAACAACAATTTTGGGTGACTTCATTTATGTAGCATGTCCCCATATCCAATGGAATTTACTGTTCTTAGCGGCGCACTTTCTGATTGGTCCAGCACTCTTCCGTTTCCTGTGATGCGCCTAGCCTATTCACACACGTGAAGGTCAGGAACTGTAGTCAATCGTTTACAATTATCTAATAATTGTACATTTCTCTCTAATTTATAAGCGATTTGTGCATGAACATGGAAAACCAAGGAGCAACAGCAGACCCTCAGCTTCAGCAATTCATCGAAATCGAGTCCCAAAAACAAAGGTTTCAGCAGTTAGTCCATCAGATGACTGAAGTGTGTTGGGTAAGAAACGCTTCTGCAATGACAACTAGCTAGCTACTTGAACATCTGGCGATCAAGTGAATGAATGCATAAAAATTGACACAGTTAGCCAATGATACAATGGGCATGTAGACTTAATTATTGTACTAGCTAGATTGTTTAGTAGCTAAAGTTAGCTAGCTGGTAATGCCAGTTGTTTTGTGGCCCAGCGTAGGTGGCTAAGTGCAAACGTTTGCTGCATTTAGCTCGCTAGCTACTGTAACTACGCTCCTGTATTAATCTCCTACATAATCAACCACCTGTAGGGTACTCGCCTAAAATAGTGTTTAATGTGAACAAATTACTCATGCACGATGCAATGTCCTCCACGCCATGCAATGACATGTGATCCAGCCAATGATCGAGCACCTGTCTGCTCTGGTTCCTTACAGGAGAAATGCATGGATAAACCTGGGCCCAAGCTGGACTCCCGGACAGAGATCTGCTTTGTGAACTGTGTAGAGCGTTTCATTGACACGAGCCAATTCATCCTGAACAGACTCGAACAAACACAGAGGAGTAAGGGCTCCTTCTCAGAATCCATGTCTGAATAGTCTAGCAACAACCTCCACTGGATAGACTGACAAGAGAAGACACTGAACAGCCAATCAAGATGTTTTACAGCAATGACAGCTTTCTATATGGTGCAATGAGAACACTGTCCAATAACCAGGGTGGGGAAGAAACAAGTCGTTTTGATAAGTGCCTCGGTTTTGCACCTTGTATCATGTCACATAGCCAAGTCTTGGCCAATTTCTCTCACCTAGTGGGACACGAGATTAAGTGCAGTAATGTCAATTCTGGTTGGTCGCTAGCTAATGTCTTCATATTGATGTTTCTTAAACTGTGTAGTAAATTGAATTAGAGCCTGTTGCATGTCAATCATAACAAACTGAGATGGGAGATCTTCATTAGTATGCTTTAATAACAATCTTACCCAGCTGTTGAGGTTGTGTCCTGGGGCAGAGGAAAAGGGCCTAAAATCTGGGACATTCAATTTGCCACCGCCTCGGAAAGCCACTGGAACTCACTGCATTGAGTAACAAGTCAGAGTACGAACAATGTCTTGTTGGGAAAAGGGCACGATCTATGGCTGAAATAAGTGTTCAATTGTATATATGCAATAAACAAATGTTATATTGCCTGCTTTGTCATCATTGGGCTTTAGAATAGTGTGGTCCAAGTATTAGGGTCTTGCTGCATAAAAGGTAATTGTTTATTCACATACTAAAAGAATAAGCAGTATGTTATAAATCAATGATTAAGAAACACTAAGTTAGTTTGGCACATGCAGTAGTAGGAATGCATTTCAAAAGGGGCTATGTCAAGGAAAGTGCCTCAGTTAATACTGATGATATTCATAAACATGATCAATGAAAAATACAATTGAGGTATTACATTACAGTAACTTGTCACTCAGATTGTTCAACATTCACAATCAGTAACTTTGAAAGATGATTGAACCCAAGTACACAAAAGGTAAAAGCTGCAGTGCCTTGACTCGCAATAGATTTTCTGGCATTTTAAGGCAAATGAACACAGGAATAAGACAAATAGGCCTATCAATAAGTTACAGTTCAGACAGTGAAAAACAGAAGGGACTAGTCGCTTCATATCAAAACTTGATCTTAAAACTAAAATCAGTACATTCAATTTCATCACACTGTCCATGATTAGATATTTTAAGTGTGTACGTACACCAGTTTTTTTTATACAGTAGAAACCATTCAGAGAAAGGGGAAACCTGTAGGACTAATACTTTCAACCAGTTGAATGGTTTAGGTGTACCATGAGTAAAACCATGTTGGACTTCGCTAATCGCTAGACACAATGTACATCTGTTGGTATAGAAATGCAGTGTGCTCACTGGATTGCAGTGCATGACAGTTAAAGGCAAGCTGTCCTTCCAGTGGTTATTGCATTGTAAGAATCTCCAACTCAATACATATTTAGTAAACATATTTTCCACTCGTCTACGCAGGTGTGTAAATATCAAATAAACAGAGAAATGTAAAACTTGGCAATGGGATATTGAAATCTAAACATTTGGCCTTTGTGCTAAGTAGGGTTTGAATTGATCCCAAGTGCTAAGTGGTGACAAAGCTATTGTTCCTCCTCATTGAGCCCTCCGGCGAGTAGCTTCCCTTTGAGCTCCCCTCTCTGGCCAGCTTCGCCTCCCCTGGCCCCTCCGCCTGGCTCTCCTGGCTGGGCAGGGCCACGTAGGGCTGCTGGCCCCAGAGGGACCCCTGAGGCCCCTTCCTCAGGTACAGTGGCAGCGAGTCCCAGCTGAATGTAAGATCTTTAAACGCATGGAGGAGGAAGATACCCAGGATGATTGTGAGGAACCCACTGACGGTCCCCACAACTCCGTCCGTGCTCATGCTCAGCCACTCCTTGAAGAGGATGGCCGAACACGCCATTACGGAGGTGGTGAAGAACACGTAATAGATGGGCGTGACGATGGACGTGTTGAAAATGTCCAAGGCTTTATTGAGATAGCTGATCTGGATGCTGACGCAGATCACCAGGCAGATGAGTAGACACCAGAACAGGGGTTCCTTTAGGACGGCGGTGCCGGCGAACAGCTCCTTGATGCCGATGCCCAGGCCCTTGACGCAGGACACCGACAGGGAGCCAATCACGGAGCAGATCAGGATGTAAACCAGCACGTTCTTCTGGCCATAGCGCGGGGCGACCAGGAAGATGAGGATCAGGCTGCTCGCCACAACAGACACGGCGAACGTGATGAATCCTGGGAGAGATCACAGTCGGAACGTTTGAATCAGTACATTCTGAGAGCATGACGCAATAGTTGAGAGTCTTGCATTTTTACGTATTAACAAGCCAATTATTTTTTGGATCAGTGGCTCTGAACAGCAGCTGAGGGATTCAGCATAGGTCAGTATGTGAGACATTGGTATGATTGTAGTAATATGTTTCTCAAATTCTAATCTTAGTTTATAGCATGCTGGTCAAAAAACATCAGTGCATACAAGGGGATTGGCCTAAAGAAGGCACTGCATATATTTTTTAACCTTAAATCACATAATGAGTACTTATTTGGGATGCAAGATGATATTATAGAAAAGTGTTTGTGTATATGTGGACCCATGATGTCAGTTACAGTACCTGGGTCTTGGAGCTTCTCAGCCATGGCAGTAAGGGAGGCAACCTCCTCCTCCTGAGGGGCGTGGATGACCATGACAGTGGAACCCAGGATGCACAGCAAGCAGCCCATCTTCCCGTGAACATTCAACCGCTCATTCAGGAAGTATGAGGACAGCACAGCACTGCAGGAAGCAGGCAAAATAAGTTGATCTAGTCAAAATGAACAGATTTGTTGTAGTAGCGGTCTTCATTTTAATGTCATTACATTGTTAGAAGGCATGCAATAAGACTGACTGAATTTAGGCCCAAATATGTGTTAGGAAAACATCCTAGAACTAGCTCTTTGCAAATGGATTATTACATTTTGAAACAGAATGTCACCTCACCCCTATCTTAACAGTTCATGAGATGAGGAACTCCGTACCTATCAAAGCACAAGCCGAAGTTCAGTAATCAGACATTTACCTCACAAGAACGCTCATTGCTCCCAGTGGTGTCACCAATGTGGCAGGGGCAAAAGCGTAAGCGGCAAAGTTAGCTGCTTCCCCAGCTCCCACTGAAACACAGAAACCAGCATTAGTATGCAACAATGACATGGGACTATGCACATGATACTGTAAATGTAGGGGGAGGCGAGTTTTCATTACTATTCTCTCATTCAACCTACATGTGCAAATGTGATCTGAGGAATGTGTACTTCAAAAGATTTCCATAGGACAGTGTGGGTCGTTGCATCATCACAAAAGACTACCAGCAAAAATACCAAACCCACAACAGCCTCCTCCCTTTCTCTTTGAAAACAAAGACCACATTGTTAAACAGAGAAAGGTCAATGAGGACTGTTACTACAGGGTTTACCCTACTGTACCATATGCTAAAGTTCAGTAAGGGCAAATTGTTATTTTAATATAAAGAACAATTGTGATCAGGTGACAAAAGATTTGTCTACACTTACTTGCTATGAGTCCTGCCCACCACAGCCATTCTTTGAGGTAAGCATATCCCCCCTGACCTAATAAATACAATGTATGATCATACAGATAGGGCATACTATACTAACAATACAAAAAAGTGATTATTAAAGTTTTATTCAGTAAGCATACTTTCAACGGCCCAACGTAGCTAAAGTTAAGATGTAGTTATGTATGGTGGTGGTAATACCTGCTCGCATAAACCCCTTACTGGCCAATCGCAAAAGACCTTTCTTCTTCAGGATGAAGCTTCCTCCAATGAAGATGCTCGAGCTCATGGCAAGAGAGAGGCCAATGTAGAAGTCGGTGCGGTTTGGTCCGATATCCATCTGAAAATCACCACCAGATTTTTGGACTAGTAATAATAATAAAAGAGTGGCAGATTTTGAAAGGTTCTGGATGGCGGTTCTCTAACCATGTCTACTACTGTTAATGTCTATTAACCTAAACACTTAACTAACCCTAAAGACAAACCATGTATTCGTTGTTTGCCGACGACAACAGTGGTAGGCCTGATCACCGACAATGAGACAGCCTATAGGGGAGGTCAGAGACCTGGCCGTGTGGTGCCAGGATAACAACCTCTCCCTCAACGTGATCAAGACACAGGAGATGATTGTGGACTACAGGAAAAAGAAGAGGACCGAGCACGCCCCCATTCTCATCGACGGGGCTGTAGTGGAGCAGGTTGAGAGCGTCAAGTTCCATGGTGTCCACGTCACCAACAAACTATCATGGTCCAAACACACCAAGACAGTCGTGAAGAGGGCACGACAAAGCCTATTCCCACTCAGGAGACTGAAAAGATTTGGTATGGGTCCTCAGATCCTCAAAAAGTTCTACAGCTGCACCATCGAGAGCATCCTGACTGGTTGCAGCACCACCTATTATGGCAACTGCTCGGCCTCCGACCGCAAGGCACTACAGAGGGTAGTGCGTACGGCCTAGTACATCACTGGGGCCAAGCTTCCTGCCATCCAGGACCACTACACCAGGCGGTGTCAGAGGAAGGCCCTAAAAATTGTCAAAGACTCCAGCCACCCTAGTCATAGACTGTTCTCTCTGCTACCGCACGGCAAACGGTACCGGAGCGCCAAGTGTAGGTCCAAAAGGCTTCTTAACAGGTAGCTTAGTGGGTAAGAGCGTTGTGCCAGTAACTGAAAGGTCGCTGGTTCTAATCCCCGAGCCGACTAGGTGAAAAATCTGTCTATGGGCCCTTAAGCAAGGCACTTAACCCTAATTGCTCCTGTAAGTCGCTCTGGATAAGAGCGTCTGCTAAATGACTAAAATGTAAATGTATAAGACTCCTGAACAGCTAATTAAATGGCTACCCGGACTATTTGCATTGTTTCCACCCCCTCCTTTATGCTGCTGCTACTCTGTTTATTATCTATGCCAGGGGTGTCAAACTCATTTTAGGTCAGGGGCCACATGGAGGAAAATCTATTCCCAAGTGGGCCGGACCGGAAAAATCATGGTATATATAACTTAAAAACAACAACTTCAGATTGTTTTCTTTGTTTTAATACGATCAACATACAACATAAAGCTGGAGCCTGAGGACAGTGTGTCCAAAATAGTACAAGCACAACATCACTACTAATCATAAAACACGTCAAGTTATTTGAAAGTTCTGAGGACAAAGAACACACAAACACACAATGCCTCAGTGATTCACAGAAGTATATCACAGAACTATATCAGGGTGTCATTTCTCAGGCAAAAATGTAGATAAAAATAATGAAATCCTGTTCCCCAAACAAGTGCAAGAACCACAAAGTCAAGAATAGATTAAATATACAAATAAAATCAATTAAAAACAATAGCACATCAACATAAAAACATAAATCTGAAAGCGTTGCTCTAACTCCCGTAACAGTCCCGTTATTTTATCTTTGAACCGCTTCATGTCTGCCACATGTTGGGTCGCGCACACATTTTTCAGACAGGGGAAGTGAGCTGCATCACCACCGGCAAGTTGCGTCTCCCACAATGACAGCTTCAACTTGAAAGAACGTATGCTGTCATAATACTGCGTGACAACTTTGTTGCGCCCTTGCAGCTGTTTGTTCAAGTTATTCAGGTGCTCTGTAACATCCACCATAAATGCAAGGTCCTGCATCCATTCTGCGGAATGAAATTCTAACACTGGTTTGCCCTTTTCTTCCATGAACTGTTCAATTTCTTCTCGTAAATCAAAGAAACGCCTCAGGACAGCACCTCGGTTTAACCATCTTACCTCAGTGTGGTATGGCAGGCCATAGATGTGGTCTCTCTCTCTGAGAAGGCTGTCAAACTGACGGTGATTCAGGCTTCTGGATCGGATGAAATTAACAGTTTGGATGACCACCTTCATGACGTTATCCATCTTTAATGACTTGCAACACAAAGCCTCCTGGAGCAAAATACAGCGAAAAGTCAAAAAATCACATCCTCCATTTGCAGATTGCACTTTCTCTCTGAACTTTGTCACAACGCCTGCTTTTTTCCCGATCATTGAGGGCGCACCATCTGTAGCCAGGCTGACAGCGCGGGACCAGTCCACTCCGACCCTGTCCAGCGCGCCGACGAGTGCGGTAAAAATATCAGCTGCTGTCATTGTATCTGTCATCGGCACCAACTCCACGAACTCCTCGGTGACGGTCAATGTGTCATCAACTCCGCGGATGAAAATGGCCAGTTGTGCAACATCTGTAATGTCCGTGCTTTCATCAATTGCAACCGAAAACGCAATAAATGACTTTACTTTTTGCTTCAACTGGCTGTCCAAATCCACTGAAAGATCGGAAATCCTGTCTGCAACTGTGTTTCTTGTCAGGCTGATATTTGCAAAAGCCTGCCGCTTTTCAGGGCACACAATCTCCGCTGCCTTCATCATGCATGTTTTTACAAATTCACCCTCACTAAATGGTTTTGAAGCCACTGCGATTTCATTAGCAATGAGGTAGCTAGCTTTCACTGCAGCGTCACTGATGTCTCGGCTGTGAGTAAACACAGACTGCTGTTTCTTCAGACCCGCCAACAGTTCATTCACCTTCTCTCATCTCCGCTGTCCTTGAAAGTTGTCATATTTGTCGGCATGAAGACTCACATAGTGGCGACGAAGGTTATATTCTTTCAGCACTGCAACATGCTCTGAACACACCAAACATACAGCTTTCCCATTCAATTCCGTGAATAAATAGGATGACCATTTTTCTTGGAACACTGCACTCTGCGTCCACTTTTCTCTTTTTTGACAGAGACATATTGGGGCAATGAGGGTGCCAAAGCACATAATGTTAAAAGTAGAAGCCGTAATAAATATCGCGGGCAAAACAAAGTAGCTCATTGGCTGCACGTGCTTGACCTACTTGCTCTGCCCCGGTATAAACAGTTTGCTTGCTTAACACAATTGCTATTGCGCCATCCAGTGGACGCAATTGGAACAGCAGTTTATTTTATTGAAAAATTGCAGCGCATTTTTATACTTTACAAAATTATTATTATTATTATTATTATTATTTTCTTTCAAAATCATCTCGCGGGCCGGATTAAACCCGTTTGCGGGCCTGATCCGGCCCGCGGGCCGGACGTTTGACACCCCTGATCTATGCATAGTCACTTTACCTCTACCTACATGTACATATTACCTCAATTACCTCGACTAACCAGTGCCCCCGCACATTGACTCTGTGCCGGTACCCCCTGTACATAGCCTCACTACTGTTATTTTACTGCTGCTCTTTAATTACTTGTTATTTTTTAATTATCAATTTTTTTACTTAACACTTATTTTTCTTAAAACTGCATTTTTGGTTAAGGGCTTGTAAGTAAGCATTTCACTGTAAGGTCTACACCGGTTGTATTCGGCGCATGTGACAAATACAATTTGATTTGTTCAATGCAGCAGCCCTGACACTAGGGTTTGCAAAACATGTGAGGAATGGGGCTGGAGAAATGCAACCATTCTCAAATTTGTACATGCAGCTATGGATGCTGACAGTCCATTTGATCAACATAGGCATATTTAGAAGCTATACAGTGTTTGGGTTTGTAAACAAAAACGTAACTTTGTACTAATAATGTCTGAAGTTAAACAACCTTGAGTTATGATGATAAACAGTAATATGCTCATGAGGATCTATAAGTTATTAAAGAAGCAATGCCTATGGAGATTGATTGAAGTTCCAGTAAGTAATCACCACTTAGCTTTTACAGTTCAATTCGGGGTGTTGACTTCAGCCTTAATCTTTGTTTCAGCTGCTAGTCTTATTTTTGCCAGCTAGCTAGCTAACTTTTTAATCACGTGACGATGTCTACTAACGTTACACATTTGATAAGATTGATGCGGTGAGATAGCATTGGCAGACATATCTCTTGCCTAAATGATCTGAATAACGTAATTGTTTTAGCTGTAATTACTCATTATGAACGGAGGTCATAAGATGTAGCTGGTAGTAATAACTTGACAGGCAAAGCACAGTAACGGGGCCATTAGCCTAGCTAGCCAGCTACCTAACGTTAGCCAGCTAACTTTTGAAGTAAGCAAGCCAGCAGGAGAGAAAAGTTTCTACAACACAGAATTATATAACTGACTTGCCATTCTATTTTCTTGTTTGCACACAACATTCACGTGAACACAAAACGCTAATGTAGCACACATCCTAAAACGTACTTTTGAGCTCACCTTTGCTTTCAACCCATCCAATCTGAAGAGAAGCAGCTGACTGCTGGAGTCCGCCCAGAATAGATACTTCCTCGTGCAGTGTCAGTGAGCGTGTCAAATATAATTATATAGCTATATTTTTTTCATACAATATCTGGCCAACGTTAACGAACTCGCCACAATAATTTTTCATTTACATCAACTGACTTTATAAAAACGCAAATTAACAAGCAAATGGGAGTTTATGTGGGAAATATCAGCGACAGAAATGTCCGAGTCCTACCCCATTTGAAGTTCACATTTAAAATGGTTAAAGTAAGGGTAACATCGTTTCCCAAACTCGGTCCTCAGGACCCCAAGAGGTACACATTTTGGTTTTTGCCCTAATAATACACAGCTGATTCAAATGATCAAAGCTTGATGATTAGTTCATTATTTTAATCAGCTGTGTTGCGCTAGGGCAAAAAACAAAATGTGCACCGAGTTTGGGAAACCCTTGGTTAGGAAGGGTTAAGGTTAGGGCAAATATTGTTTATAACTAACCCAAGATAGACTACAGCCTGTCGTTTCCAATGGGAGCAAATTAATCATAGTGGGCAGAACAAGCAAGGAGGTGGGCAGAGCCAAGCACGAGCATTTGCGCGTTCTGGTATGTATTTGCATATTTCCGTCAGGGAATGTGAAGTGCGCGTGTGCAATAACTCAATTCTCCCTTGCACTCCTTCTAAACAACGCAATTTTTGGAGACTTTGGCAAAGGGTCAAGTCTACAAAACTTAGTCCACTTTTTTCGTAACATATTCTAGTTTTGGAAACAGAAAACTGTATTGAGATCAAATGTTTCATCGATGAGAAAATTATTTACATTTTAGTCATTTAGCAGACGTTCTTATCCAGAGCGACTTACAGTTAGTGAGTGCATACATTATTTTTTTCATACTGGCCCCCCGTGGGAATCGAACCCACAACCCTGGCGTTGCAAACGCCATGCTCTACCAACTGAGCTACATCCCTGGGCACAGAAAATTATCAGAATGTCGGCCAAAATCCATCTCGCTCCATCTTCACCCACTACCGGCCACTGGGCTTCCTCTCATCACCATATTTGGTAGTGCGTGGAAACGCCAAGGCTTCACATTAACACATCTGTGGTTAGGGTTTCGTCCGAAGAATCCCGAATAGCACTCGTTTTGGGTGGAGATTTCTCTTACCAATGGAATGGTTAAAAATGAGCTAACCCGGGGCACCGGGCCATGCAAAACGAATTCGCCCAATGTCACGTGTGTCTTCTCCTGCTGATCGGATTGGTTGCTCCCTGTAGAAAGGGGCGGTGTAATGATTTAGTTGAGCACTGTGATTGGATTAATTCGAAATTACGTTGAAGCAACCGGAAGAAGACCTAACCTTGACAGGGAAACAGACGTGCATTTCTTGAAGATCTATAAAGTGGAGTCCTCTACGGAATTATATTTTAAAAACAAAGAATTACCAGGATTACTCAAAATACTAAAATAACTTATTGACATATTTCTGGTGTCGTTACTTTTCTCTACGACTCATGGGCTTTTAGAAATGAACGACACAGGGTGAGGATATCACTGTTTGCCATTTACTATGGACCACAATATCACTGCGGAGTTGGTAACGTTAGTCATATGATCCTTCATAACCTCATAGTTATGTCACTCATAACCTCACAGTCATAGTTTGTGGACAGTGTCAACATTTGCCTGTTGTCCCATGATGAAGACGTACCTCTCCATAATCAGAAACTGTAAGGTTGCACAGAGATGGTCATTCAGCCATGCTACAAGATGTGCACTTTCTCCATCACCATCATTCTCCTCAAAATGGAATTGCAAAATGCTCATGGTGAGACGCATGGGCACGGATATCCCCACGGAAGATCGGACCTATTACATCACCACCCCTATCTTCTATGTGAATGCTGCCCCTCATATTGGACACCTGTACTCGGCTGTTACAGCTGACTACCTGCACAGATACAAGCTTCTACAGGGGTTCAACTCCAGGTTTGCCACAGGTGAGTGAAAAACACATGAGAATCAATGTGGATTGATTGACATTGTGATAATATTGTAGTTACCCTAGTTTATAAGCCATTTATGACCTCCCCCATGTGAAATATTCCTATTGAAGCAGTGGACTTCCTGACGGGCCGACCGCAGGTGGTGAGGGTAGGCAACAGCACCTCCGCCACAATGATCCTCAACACGGCGGCCCGCCAGGTGCTTAGCCACCTCCTGTACTCCCTGTTTATCCATGACTGCTACACACGACTCCAACTCAATCATAAAGTTTACTGACGACACGACAGTGGTAGGCCTGATTACCAACAACAACGAGACCGCCTACAGGGAGAAGGTGAGGGCCCTGGCGGAGTGGTGCCAGGAAAATAACCTCTTCCTCAACGTAAAAACAACAACAAAGGAGCTGATCGTGGACTTCTTGAGACAAAGGAGGGAGTACGCCCCCATCCACATCGACGGGGCCGCAGTGGAGAGGGTCAAAAGCTTTAGGTTTCTTGGCGTGCACATCACTTAAGACCTGAAATGTTCCCAACACCGAAACCGTGGTGAAGGCGCAACAGCGCCTCAACCTCAGGTGGCTGAAGAAATTCAACATGGCCCCTAAGACCCTCATGAATTACTACAGATGCACCATTGAGCGCATTCTGTTGGGCTGCATCACCGCCTGGTACGGCAACCGCAACGCCCTCAACCGCAGGGCTCTCCAGAGGGTGGTGTGGTCAGCCCAACGCATCTCCGGGGGCACACTGCCTGCCCTCCAGGACATTTACAGCACTCGGTGTCAAAGGAAGGCCAAGAAGATCATCAAGGACCTCAGCCACCGAGCCACGGCCTGTTCACCCCGCTACCATCTAGAAGGCGGAGACAATACAGGTGCATCAAAGCCGGGACCAAAAGACTGAAAAACAGTTTCTATCTCCAGATCTCTATCAGACAGTTGAACAGCCATCATGCCATCTCCTGTAGTAGGAGACAAAGATAGACTCACTCACACAAAACACACAAACAAGCTCACACACACACACACCTTTATACAGTGGGGAGAACAAGTATTTGATACACTGCCGATTTTGCAGGTTTCCCTACTTACAAAGCATGTAGAGGTCTGTAATTTTTTATCATATGTACACTTCAACTGTGAGAGACGGAATCTAAAACAAAAATCCAGAAAATCACATTGTATGATTTTTAAGTAATTAATTTGCATTTTATTGCATGACAAGTATTTGATACATCAGAAAAGCAGAACTTAATATTTGGTACAGAATCCTTTGTTTGCAATTACAGAGATCATACGTTTCCTGTAGGTCTTGACCAGGTTTGCACACACTGCAGCAGGGATTTTGGCCCACTCCTCCATACAGACCTTCTCCAGATCCTTCAGGTTTCGGGGCTGTCGCTGGGCAATACGGACTTTCAGCTTCCTCCAAAGATTTTCTATTGGGTTCAGGTCTGGAGACTGGCTAGGCCACTCCAGGACCTTGAGATGCTTCTTACGGAGCCACTCCTTAGTTGCCCTGGCTGTGTGTTTCGGGTCGTTGTCATGCTGGAAGACCCAGCCACGACCCATCTTCAATGCTCTTACTGAGGGAAGGAGGTTGTTGGCCAAGATCTCGCGATACATGGCCCCATCCATCCTCCCCTCAATACGGTGCAGTCGTCCTGTCCCCTTTGCAGAACAGCATCCCCAAAGAATGATGTTTCCACCTCCATGCTTCACGGTTGGGATGGTGTTCTTGGGGTTGTACTCATCCTTCTTCTTCCTCCAAACACGGCGAGTGGAATTTAGACCAAAAAGCTCTATTTTTGTCTCATCAGACCACATGACCTTCTCCCATTCCTCCTCTGGATCATCCAGATGGTCATTGGCAAACTTCAGACGGGCCTGGACATGCGCTGGCTTGAGCAGGGGGACCTTGCGTGCGCTGCAGGATTTTAATCCATGACGGCGTCGTGTGTTACTAATGGTTTTCTTTGAGACTGTGGTCCCAGCTCTCTTCAGGTCATTGACCAGGTCCTGCCGTGTAGTTCTGGGCTGATCCCTCACCTTCCTCATGATCATTGATGCCCCACGAAGTGAGATCTTGCATGGAGCCCCAGACCGAGGGTGATTGACCGTCATCTTGAACTTCTTACATTTTCTAATAATTGCGCCAACAGTTGTTGCCTTCTCACCAAGCTGCTTGCCTATTGTCCTGTAGCCCATCCCAGCCTTGTGCAGGTCTACAATTTTATCCCTGATGTCCTTACACAGCTCTTTGGTCTTGGCCATTGTGGAGAGGTTGGAGTCTGTTTGATTGAGTGTGTGGACAGGTGTCTTTCATACAGGTAACGAGTTCAAACAGGTGCAGTTAATACAGGTAATGAGTGGAGAACAGGAGGGCTTCTTAAAGAAAAACTAACAGGTCTGTGAGAGCCGGAATTCTTACTGGTTGGTAGGTGATCAAATACTTATGTCATGCAATAAAATGCAAATTAATTACTTAAAAATCATACAATGTGATTTTCTGGATTTTTGTTTTAGATTCCGTCTCTCACAGTTGAAGTGTACATATGATAAAAAATTACAGACCTCTACATGCTTTGTAAGTAGGGAAACCTGCAAAATCGGCAGTGTATCAAATACTTGTTCTCCCCACTGTATATATACATACACACACAGACTCCTGTACTCACATATACACTCACACACACGCATATGCCCATACTCAGAAACCCATGCACATTGGTGGTGTGCGGGTCAGCTGTTTGTTCACCCGGTACCAGCCCGCAATTGCTAACAACCCATCCACAACCGCCGACTATATGTGATAAAGTGAAAATCTGAGGCCCGTACCCGACCCTAACCGTGTAGGCTATAGTCAGAGACGACAGAAATATTTTTTGACAGGGGGTGCAGGATGTTTTTGTTTAGATCATTTAGATACGTTTCTGCTCATAATTTCATTTTTTTTGGTAGGCTATTTGTTAGTCATCTTGTCTATAATTAGATACATGGAATTCTGTTCGGTCATGTTGCCCTCATGGACCTCGCTAATATTTTCTAATTTAAAAAAATTATATCTACAGTTGAAGTCGGAAGTTTACATACACTTAGGTTGGCGTCATTAAAACTCGTTTTTCAACCACTCCGAAACATTAGCAAACTATAGTTTTGGCAAGTCGGATAGGACAGCTACTTTGTGCATGACACAAGTAATTTTTCCAACAATTGTTTACAGACAGATTATTTCACTTATAATTCACTGTATCACAATTCCAGTGGGTCAGAAGTTTACATACACTAAGTTGACTGTGCCTTTAAACAGCTTGGAAAATTCCTGAAAATGATGTCATGGCTTTAGAAGCTTCTGATAGGCTAATTGACATCATTTGAGTCAATTGGAGGTGTACCTGTGGATGTATTTCAAGGCCTACCTTCAAACTTTTTGGAGAAATGTCCTCTGGTCTGATGAAACAAAAATAGAACTGTTTGGCCTAATGACCATTGTTATGTTTGGAGGAAAAAGCGGGGTCTTGCAAGCAGAAGAACACCATCCCAACCGTGAAGCACGGGGGTGGCAGCATCATGCTGTGGGGGTGCTTTGCTGCAGGAGGGACTGGTGCACTTCACAAAATAGATGGCATCATGAGGAAGGAAAATGATGTGGATATATTGAAGCAACATCTCAAGACATCAGTCAGGAAGTTAAAGCATGGTCGCAAATGGGTCTTCCAAATGGACAATGACCCCAAGCATACTTCCAAAGTTGTGGCAAAATGGCTTAAGGACAACAAAGTCAAGGTATAGGCGTGGCCATCACAAAGCCCTGACCTCAATCCTATAGAACATTTGTGGGCAGAACTGAAAAAGTGTGTGCGAGCAAGGAGGCCTACAAACCTGACTCAGCTACACCAGCTCTGTCAGGAGGAATGGGCCAAAATTCATCCAACTTATTGTGGGAAGCTTGTGGAAGGCTACCCAAAACATTTGACCCAAGTTAAACAAATGTAAAGGCAATGCTACCAAATACTAATTGAGTGTATGTGAACTTCTGACCCACTGGGAATGTGATGAAAGAAATAAAAGCTGAAATAAATAATTCTCTCTACTATTATTCTGAGTGTCTCCTGAGTGGCGCAGTGGTCTAAGGCGCCGCATCGCAGTGCTAACTGTGCCACTAGAGATCCTGGTTCGAATCCAGGCTCTGTCGCAGCCGGCCGCGACCGGGAGACTCATGGGCGGCGCACAATTGGCCCAGCGTCGTCCAGGGTAGGGGAGGGAATGGCCGGCAGGGATGTAGCTCAGTTGATAGAGCATGGCGTTTGCAACGCCAGGGTTGTGGGTTCGATTCCCACGGGGGGCCAGTATAAAAAAAATATATATATATATATGTATTCACTAACTGTAAGTCGCTCTGGATAAGAGCGTCTGCTAAATGACTAAAATGTAAATGTAAATTCTGACATTTCACATTCTTAAAATAAAGTCGTGATCCTAACTGACCTAAGACAGGGAATCTTTACTAGGATTAAATGTCAGGAATTGTGAAAAACTGAGTTTAAATGTATTTGGCTAAGGTGTATGTAAACTTCTGACTTCAACTGTATGTATCTCTATATATACTGGTTGCTAAAATCCTACATTATTAGCTCAATTTCAGTTTATGTGAGAAAACAAGCACTTAATAGTGTAGGGAATCATTGTACCATCTTAATCGCTGTGAAATATTCTTTCAATAACAAAAAATATAGTTTTTACAGCTGTTTGAAGCAGGTGGACCGAAACCAACTTTAGTTTTGGTCCACCAGCTTCAAACAGCTGTAAAAATTATATTTTTCAGCGATTTTGAGCGAACAGTGTAGAATTTTAGCAACCAGGAAATGACAAAGCGACACAGAACAGATTTCCCAGTTTGACAACAGATGCCGCTCCTAAGGGAGAAATCATAACACTGGCGGGAGTACTGTGAAAAATTGTGAAACACTATCATTCCACTATTAGCGGCAGATATATTATAGACATTTTCAGAAATTACAATGCAAAAATTCAAAACAAAAATTCTGTGTAGCACTTTTAATATAGAATCGTATGTAGTATTCTAATTCGTGTGAATGTGATAATACGATAATCTGTGTACTCCATTGATGTCTGTTTGTGCGGCGCTTGATTAGTAATGCCTAGGAATACAAACTCTATGTAATTTGAGTGTTTAATTGAGTACCACAGTATGTCATATTACCCATAAAACCTAGCGGTCAAACAGGCAAATGGTTCCAATTGTTATTCCAACATTAATTTTTCCCATAGGGGATTTTAGAAACACTTAAAATAAGGGTTGTGTTTCGTGTAGGCATACCCTGGCGTGACGTTTTGATAACAATGTAAATCTCTCTCGGACAAGGTGACTTTTAGCAATATATTTGATTTCCAGGTGTTTGATGCCATTCCATTTGCTCCGTTCCGGCCATTATTATGAGCCGTCCTCCCCTCAGAAACCTCCACTGGTATTATGTCACCTCCACTGTGGGCTCTATAGTCACATGTACAGGGTTGCAGGTGTGTTTGCAGGGTACAGTGAAAATCTTAGGCTCCGAGCAGGACTAAGTGAAATATAATAATAAATGCTAATAAATAAAAAATACAATAGAAATAGCACTATATACATCATAACTGTAGCAGTGATGAATAAATACATGTCCATTGGGGTGGAGGCAGAGTAAAGACTGTTGAGTAATGACAACAGTAGGAGCAGCATGACCATTGAGGGGGTGTATGGACCAAGTTAAATAAAAACATTAAAATGATGATTAAAAAAATGCTATAATATGTGAATGTCCCTAATGGAATGTCCCTAGGGGGAGCAGCAGGTAAGGTAAGAAAATAGATCTATGTAAAGAGATGATTTTATGCAATTCATCATTACAACTGACTGAACAGTCGCTGATGCTCCGTGTCAGCGTGAATCATTTCTCATATTTCCCTCCTTTCAGGGGTATAACATTACAATTGTATAGCTAATAGGCTGTGTGTTTGTAGATGGACTGAGGTTAATTAAGCTACAGCAGCAAAGGTGATAATGGCTGGGGTCATTTTTGCTTATTTTTGCTGTTTTTGAAAATTACGACCTCACGAAAACTCAAACCCTAATACGGCCCTGGTTGCCCTAGAAGACTGAATAAACTCTTGCTCACCAGAATAATGTCATAAATAATAGAATGAATGCTCCAATCTAGTTGACATCGGTAACGTTTTCTGTCATCTCTGTTCTAAGACGTTTAGGTACCGTGGAGAAAATGCAATAACTCTACAAGAAAACTTGAGGATTTTCTGTGCAAAATTTCCAAATGACATCAGTTTGACCGGTTGTAAGGAAATAGACAGCTGTGAAAACGACCCACCATGTTTCTGATAAGATTTCAGTTCGGCTTGGATGCATATTTTATGTGGTTGAAATACTATCAGCTTTTATGATGCTGATAAAGATGGCACCTCTACAGACGGTCCCTAACTGTGCATTCTCTCAAAATGCTGAAAGAAATTATATTTTTCCTCTCCTGTTCCCCAGTTAAAATATACCTTTGCTGTATTATTTTTACAGCAAGAAATGTTTAATTCTGCAGGAGTTAATATTAAGACTATGAGAGAGGTTATAGACCTAGTCAGGTCAGTGTCCAGATTTCAGTTTCCATTTAACCCATCTGAACAGTAGGCTACAGTTCCCTTGAATTGCCATAGCCTATTTGAAGTCCCCGTCTTGTGACTGTCAAATGTGTATGTATAGCGCCTCATAATAACATAGGCACTGCTTTCATCCTTTTCTGGCCCTCCATTCTCTTTATTTTCAACTCTCCATTTTGCAGCTTTTCTCTTATTGAATAAAACTCAGACATTATCCTTTTTGAGTCAGTGGATCAAGGTTGACTTTTCTGCCCGTTCCCAAAAAGCGTTTGGCGATTGGCATGTAAGCTATTTGCCGTGCATAAAGTTAGCATTTTGGACACCAAAAGTACAGTGCATTCGGAAAGTATTCAGACCCCTTGACTTTTTCACATTTTGTTACGTTACAGCCTTATTCTAAAAATGATTAAATAAAAATGTTTCCTCATCAATCTACAAACAATACCCCATAATGACAAAGCGAAAAGAGGTTCTTAGACATTTTTGCAAATGCATTACGAATAGAAAAAATACCTTATTTACATAAGTATTCAGACCCTTTGCTATGAGACTCGAAATTGAGCTCAGGTGCATCCTGTTTCCATTGATCATCCTTGATGTTTCTACTACTTGATTGGAGTCCACCTGCGGTAAATTCAAATGATTGGGCATGATTTGGAAAGGCACACACCTGTCTATATAAGGTCCCACAGTTGACAGTGCATGTCAGAGCAAAAACCAAGCCATGAGGTCGAAGGAATTGTCCGTAGAGCTCTGAGATAGGATTGTGTCGAGGCACAGATCTGGGGAAGGGTACCAAAACATGTCTGCAGCATTGAAGAGCCCCAAGAACACAGTGGCCTCCATCATTCTTAAATGGAAGAAGTTTGGAATCGCCAAGACTTTTCCTAGAGCTGGCAGCCTGGCCAAACTGCGCAATCGGGGGAGAAGGGCCTTGGTCAGGGAGGTGACCAAGAACCCGATGGTCACTCTGACAGAGCTCCAGAGTTCCTCTGTGGAGATGGGAGAACCTTCTAGAAGGACAACTATCTCTGCAGCACTCCACCAATCAGGCCTTTATGGTAGAGTGGCCAGACGGAAGCCAATCTTCAGTAAAAGGCACATGACAGCCCGCTTGGAGTTTGCCAAAAGGCACCTAAAGGACTCTCAGACCATGAGAAACAAGATTCTCTGGTCTGATGAAACCAAGATTGAACTCTTTGGCCTGAATGCCAAGCGTCACATCTGGAGGAAACCTGGCACCATCCCTACGGTCAAGCATGGTGGTGGCAGCGTCATGCTGTGGGGATGTTTTTCAGCAGCAGGGACTGGGAGACTAGTCAGGATCAAGGGAAAGATGAACGGAGCAAAGTACAGCGAGATCCTTGATGAAAACCTGCTCCAGAGCGCTCAGAACCTCAGACTGGGGCCGAAGGTTCACCTTCCAACAGGCCAACGACCCTAAGCACACAGCCAAGACAACGCAGGAGTGGCTTCGGGACAAGTCTCTGAATATCCTTGAGTGGCCCAGCCGGAGCCCGGACTTGAACCCGATCGAACATCTCTGGAGAGACCTGAAAATAGCTGTGCAACGACGCTCCCCATCCAACCTGACAGAGCTTGAGAGGATCTGCAGAGAAGAATGGGAGAAACTCCCCAAATACAGGTGTGCTAAGCTTGTAAGGTCATACCCAAGAAGACTCGAGGCTGTAATCGCTGCCAAAGGTGCTTCAACAAAGTACTAAGTAAATGTAATATTTATGTTTTTTTATTTTTAAAACATTTGCAAAAAATTCTAAAAACCAGTTTTTGCTTTGTCATTATGGGGTATTGTGTGTAGATTGATAATATTTAAAACAAAATTTATCCATTTTAGAATAAGGCTGTAACGTAACAAAATGTGGAAAAAAAGTCAAGGGGTCTGAATACTTTCCGACGGCACTGTAAATTATTTTCCAATGGAACGCTGCGTTTGCCTTGGTGCGCGTTCTCTGTGGTGTATACGTTGGATTTACCGAGCGTATGCGTTAGACGGCATGACAGAAATGGTAGCAGAAGATTGTTATTCTTCACATAGCTCATTCTAATATCTCTACTACTGTACATTTAGTTACTGTTTATTTATACACTGGATTCTCGACATAGCTCCCTGTAATATTTACTGCTGTACATATCATTTTACATTTACATCATTTAGCAGACGCTCTTATCCAGAACGACTTACAAATTGGTGCATTCAACTTAGGATAGCCAGTGGGACAACCACTTTTTTTTTCTTGTGGGGGAGGGGGTGGGGGTGGGGGGGTAGAAGGATTACTTTATACTATTCCAGGTATTCCTTAAAGAGGTAGGGTTTCAAGTGTCTCCGGAAGGTGGTCAGTGACTCCTGCTGTCCTGGTGTCGTGGGGGAGCTTGTTCCACCATTGGGGTGCCAGAGCAGCAAATAGCTTTGACTGGGCTGAGCGGGAACTGTGCTTCCGTAGAGGTAGGGGAGCTAGCAGGCCAGAGGTGGATGAACGCAGTGCCCTCGTTTGGGTGTAGGGTCTGATCAGAGCCTGAAGGTAAGGTGCCGCTGTTCCCCTCACAGCTCCGTAGGCAAGCACCATGGTCTTGTAGTAGATTCGAGCCTCAACTGGAAGCCAGTGGAGTGTGCAGAGGAGCGGGGTGACATGAGAGAACTTGGGAAGGTCGAACACCAGACGGGCTGCAGCGTTCTGGATAAGTTGTAGGGGTTTAATGGCACAGGCAGGGAGCCCAGCCAACAGCGAGTTGTAGTAATCCAGACGGGAGATGACAAGTGCCTGGATTAGGACCTGTGCCGCTTTCTGTGTAAGGTAGGGTCGTACTCTGCGAATGTTGTAGAGCATGAACCTGCAGGATCAGGTCACCGCTTTGATGTTAGCGGAGAACGACAGGGTGTTGTCCAGCGTCACGCCAAGGTTCTTTGCACTCTGGGAGGAGGACACAATGGAGTTGTCAACCGTGATGGCGAGATCATGGAGCGGGCAGTCCTTCCCCGGGAGGAAGAGCAGCTCCGTCTTGCCGAGATTCAGCTTGAGGTGGTGATCCGACATCCACACTGATACAGTGGGGAAAAAAAGTATTTAGTCAGCCACCAATTGTGCAAGTTCTCCCACTTAAAAAGATGAGAGAGGCCTGTAATTTTCATCATAGGTACACGTCAACTATGACAGACAAAATGAGGAAAAAAAATCCAGAAAATCACATTGTAGGATTTTTAATGAATTTATTTGCAAATTATGGTGGAAAATAAGTATTTGGTCAATAACAAAAGTTTCTCAATACTTTGTTATATACCCTTTGTTGGCAATGACACAGGTCAAACGTTTTCTGTAAGTCTTCACAAGGTTTTCACACACTGTTGCTGGTATTTTGGCCCATTCCTCCATGCAGATCTCCTCTAGAGCAGTGATGTTTTGGGGCTGTCGCTGGGCAACACAGACTTTCAACTCCCTCCAAAGATTTTCTATGGGGTTGAGATCTGGAGACTGGCTAGGCCACTCCAGGACCTTGAAATGCTTCTTACGAAGCCACTCCTTCATTGCCCGGGCGGTGTGTTTGGGATCATTGTCATGCTGAAAGACCCAGCCACGTTTCATCTTCAATGCCCTTGCTGATGGAAGGAGGTTTTCACTCAAAATCTCACGATACATGGCCCCATTCATTTGTTCCTTTACACGGATCAGTCGTCCTGGTCCCTTTGCAGAAAAACAGCCCCAAAGCATGATGTTTCCACCCCCATACTTCACAGTAGGTATGGTGTTATTTGGATGCAACTCAGCATTCTTTGTCCTCCAAACACGACGAGTTGAGTTTTTACCAAAAAGTTATATTTTGGTTTCATCTGACCATATGACATTCTCCCAATCCTCTTCTGGATCATCCAAATGCACTCTAGCAAACTTCAGACAGGCATGGACATGTACTGGCTTAAGCAGGCGGACACGTCTTGCACTGCAGGATTTGAGTCCCTGGCGGCGTAGTGTGTTACTGATGGTAGGCTTTGTTGCTTTGGTCCCAGCTCTCTGCAGGTCATTCACTAGGTCCCCCCGTGTGGTTCTGGGATTTTTGCTCACCGTTCTTGTGATCATTTTGACCCTACGGGGTGAGATCTTGCGTGGAGCCCCAGATCGAGGGAGATTATCAGTGGTCTTGTATGTCTTCCATTTCCTAATAATTGCTCCCACAGTTGATTTCTTCAAACCAAGCTGCTTACCTATTGCAGATTCAGTCTTCCCAGCCTGGTGCAGGTCTACAATTTTGTTTCTGGTGTCCTTTGTCAGCTCTTTGGTCTTGGCCATAGTGGAGTTTGGAGTGTGACTGTTTGAGGTTGTGGACAGGTGTCTTTTATTCTGATAACAAGTTCAAACAGATGCCATTAATACAGGTAACGAGTGGAGGACAGAGGAGCCTCTTAAAGAAGAAGTTACAGGTCTGTGAGAGCCAGACATCTTGCTTGTTTGTAGGTGACCAAATACTTATTTTCCACCATCATTTGCAAATAAATTCATTAAAAATCCTACAATGTGATTTTCTGGATTTTTTTTCTCAATTTGTCTTTCATAGTTGACATGTACCTATGATGAAAATTACAGGCCTCTCTCATATTTTTAAGTGGGAGAACTTGCAAAAATAGTGGCTGACTAAATACTTTTTTTCCCCACTGTATGTCTGCCAGACATGCAGAGATGCGATTCGCCACCTGGTTATCAGAAGGGGGAAAGGAGAAAATTAATTGTGTGTCGTCTGCGTAGCAATGATAGGAGAGACCATGTGAGGATATGACAGAGCCAAGTGACTTGGTGTATAGAGAAAATAAGAGAGGGCCTAGAACTGAGCCCTGGGGGACACCAGTGGTGAGACACGTGGTGCGGAGACAGATTCTCGCCACGCCACCTGGTAGGAGCGACCTGTCAGGTAGGACGCAATCCAAGAGTGAGCAGCGCCGGAGATGCCCAACTCGGAGAGGGTGGAGAGGAGGATCTGATGGTTCACAGTATCAAAGGCAGCGGATAGGTCTAGAAGGATAAGAGCAGAGGAGAGAGAGTTAGCTTTAGCAGTGCGGAGAGCCTCCGTGACACAGAGAAGAGCAGTCTCAGTTGAATGACCAGTCTTGAAACCTGACTGGTTTGGATCAAGAAGGTCATTCTGAGAGAGATAGCAGGAGAGTTGGCTAGAGACGGCACACTCAAGAGTTTTGGAGAGAAAAGAAAGAAGGGATACTGGTCTGTAGTTGTTGACATCGGAGGGATCGAGTGTAGGTTTTTTGAGGAGGGGTGCAACTCTCGCTCTCTTGAAGACGGAAGGGACATGGCCAGCGGTCAAGGATGAGTTGATGAGCGAGGTGAGGTAAGGGAGAAGGTCTCCGGAAATGGTCTGGAGAAGAGAGGAGGGGATAGGGTCAAGCGGGCAGGTTGTTGGGCGGCCGGCCGTCACAAGTCATCTGGAGAGAGAGGGGAGAAAGAAGTCAATCTTGTTGGTGTATATTTGCATAGATTGCATTTGGATTGCTGATACAATGTTAGTTGGGTTGTTAACTGGATTCATTCTGACATTCGTGATTTCTTGTTTCTAGTTTTTTATTATTATTTGTGTACTTGTTTGACATTTTGCACCACTGTTAAGAGCTAGTAACACAAGCATTTCGCTGCAGCCGCTATAACATCTGCTAAACTGTGATTTGATTTACCTTAGGGCCAGGTGACCCGAGTACGAGACTCACCCCCTCCATTCACAATATCTTTATTTTTATTTTTTATATCTAAATAACATCTTTGCATTTCAGGTACAGATGAGCACGGCCTCAAAATCCAACAGGCTGCTGATGCTGCCGGACAGGATCCTCTAAGTTTCTGCACTAAAGTATCTGAGGGATTCAAACACCTCTTCGAGAGCTTTCACATCTCATACACAGACTACATCCGTACCACTGAGGAGAGACACCGCTGTGCAGTGGAGCACTTCTGGACCGTGCTTCAGAGTAAAGGCTTCATCTATAAGGGAGTTATGAAGGCTGGTACTCCACGCAAGACGAGAGCTTCCTCACGCCATCACAGGTGGGCGATGCCAAGGATTCATCAGGGAAGGAGATCAAGATCTCTCTGGAGAGCGGCCACAAGGTAGGCTGAAGGATGACTTTAACAGTTGCTAGCATCATAACAAGGTTTACTACTACATCTCATCATTGATTCATGTCATTTTCCCATACTGAATGTTGTTCCTTGGTGTGGCCATGTAGCCTAACGCTTCTCTTTCTAGCATAAGAAATGTAATAACTATTAGGATGGTGAGTTAAAATGTAGAAGGTGTATCTGTGCTCAAAATGTGATGTTTCTGAAGTAACACCTACACAAAATCTGAAAGAGAACTGAAAAAATTATATCCATCCGTCATGTATCAGATAAATTCAGGTCCAGTCACTCAAGTAGGTTTTAATTATTTAAAAAAACTTTATTTACTACTCTAGTGCTCTTTATACATAGTTTTTCTCATAAAATATAATCTGGTTTGTCTTTTGCAGGTGGAGTGGATGAAGGAGGAGAACTACATGTTCCGTCTGTCTGAGTTCCGGTCCCGGCTGCAGGAATGGCTGGAGGGGAACCCCAGAGCGGTGCAGCCAGAACGGTTCCACCACGCCGTTCTCCAGTGGCTCCAGGAGGACCTCCCAGACCTCTCCGTCTCCCGCCAGAGAAGCCGCCTCCAGTGGGGCATTCCGGTTCCCGGTGACCTCGACCAGACAATCTACGTGTGGTTAGACGCCCTGGTCAACTACCTCACAGTGGCCGGTTACCCGGACACACACTCTCAATGGTGGAGTGCTGCCCATCATGTCGTGGGAAAGGACATTCTGAAATTCCACGCCATCTATTGGCCGGCATTCCTACTGGCTGCTGACTTGCCCCTCCCACAGACCATACATGTGCACTCTCATTGGACAGTGGGGGGGAAGAAAATGTCTAAAAGCTTGGGGAATGTGGTGGATCCGCTGGAGAGGTCTCAAAGGTTCACCACAGACGGTATGAGATACTTCCTCCTGCGCCAGGGGGTCCCAGACACAGACTGTAACTATGACGATGATAAAGTGGTCAAACTGCTCAATGCTGAGCTGACAGACTCGCTGGGTGGCCTTATTAACCGCTGCACTGCCCCCTCTCTCAACCCAGCTCAGGTCTACCCCCACTTCTGCACTGACTCCTTCCCCAGTCAACGGACCAAAGCACATGAGGGGAGGGCTGTGGATGAAGATTATCACATGCTGGACGCTGTACATGCACTACCAGCCGTGGTGGAGCAGCACTACGAGAGTGTGCACGTGTACAAAGCTCTGGAGGCCATTAACGGGTGTGTGAGGCAGACCAACGGCTTTGTCCAGCGGCACACGCCATGGAAGTTGGACAGGGGGGATGGGAGAGACCAACTGTGGCTGGACACCATCCTCCACGTGTCCCTAGAGTGTCTGAGGATGTATGGGACACTCCTCCAGCCCATAGTGCCAGAGATAGCAGACAAACTTCTGTCCAGGCTGGGGGTGAAGCCAGAGGAGAGGAGCTGGGCTGCTCTGGACTTCCTGGTTAAATATCAGGGAAAGGACTGCCCCTTTGAGGGCAGAGCACTGGGTCCTGACACTGGAGTCCTGTTTAATCGTCTGGAGAGGCCAAATGCAGAGAAAGGAAAGCCCAAGAAAGCTAAGAAAGCTACTAAAGTGAAATCGTAAACATGGAAATTCAATTTTTTGTCTGTCCATGTAAAATGAGTTGAAATAAATGAGAGATTGAATATGTCACTAGTGTAATGCATTATTTTTCCTGCCTGTTTGAGCTTTCCTGACTGCTGCTTATGTTTACAATTGATCATTATTATATTCAATAGTGTTAATAATTTTTTGGGTTGTTGAGAGAAATGAAATTGTTCTACCTAAAACCACTAATTAACACAAGGTGGTAGGTGTAGTCATGGAAATAGACTAGGTCTACATGACAACACTGTTCAATAAGCCTTTTCATTTGAAGTAGTTTTATCAAGTCAAGTTTGTAGGTACAGAACTAACACTACTTTAAGAACTAAAAAGTACAAATAGGAAGTGTTCCATATGATTATTTTCTCTCCCACCTCCCATATAAAGACCATACAAGTTCAGTACAGTATTTCCTCTAACACGTTTCCTTTCACTGTTCTCTCCTCTATAGAATGACCATCAGCTGAGGTTAAAGTTCAATCTGAGTGACAGGAGAGAGAACCAATGGGCCAGAGTTTTCACCACCATCATAATAACCTGGGTAGAGAAATGGATAGAGTTTCTCAGTGAAGCTGCAGCCAGAGGAAGAGAAGATATGAGATCTGGCCTCCACAGCATAGAAGGAGACCTGTCCCTCCTCATAATCCACAAACACCCCAACCTTCTGGGGCTTCTCTTTTAGGGAGAGGGGCTAGTACAGGCCTGACACTCATTCCAGTTCATCAGTCCCACAGTCTAGTATACATTCTCAGGGCACAGTGCTATCCTCATTTTCCTATTGATGGACTCTGGCTACTCCTAAATACCACCTACTCTTTCCCTCCCCCACCAGTACCTCATAGTAGAATCTCCCTGAGGAAAAGCCCTCCTTTCCCAGGACACAATGATTGGTATAAAACCTCTCTGGGTTGTTAGGGAGTTTATGTCTTGTCTCTAAAGACCTCACTTGTTTCCTGTCCTCAGACAGAATGAGATGTGGATGTGCTGTATCAGGGTCCAGAGTCACAGCCACAGCATACTGCTGCATCCTCTTCAGCTTAATGTCAGGAAAACTCTACATCTCTTTATTGAATTTCTCCTCAAGTTCAGAAAATGCTCTCCTTGCCATCTCCTCCAGCTGAGACAAAGCTCTCCTCAGGTTCCACTCAAACAGTTCCCTGTGAACACTGATCTCAGACCAGTCCTTGATGAGTGTCAGAGGGCACAGGGATGAGGAGCTCTGAAGGAGGTGGAGGTGGTCCTCACTATGTGAGAGCTGCTCCAGCTCAGCGCGTCTCCCCTGTAGCACAGTGATTTCCTGCTCCAGCTCTTTAATGAGCCCTCCAGCCTGCCTCTCTGCTGCTTTCTGCTTCTCCTCAATCACCTCAATGTAGTCAGCCTGGCTTCTCTCAATGAAGTGTCCCAGAGCAGTGAAGACCTGCACACTGTCTGATATCTCTCTCTCTGAGTCTCTCTGGCTGAGCTCTACTGAGTGTTTGATATCTTGAACCTTCTGCAGTCGCTCCTGGATCATCGCTGCACTTGTGCCTCTGTCTTCCCCAGCTGAGCCTTCCTCTCTCCAAACTCTTCCTCTAGAGGGACGGTGTGGTGAGTTTTAACTGACACACATGCCTGGTCAGTCCTACAGAAGAGCTCCAGTAGTCTGTTGTGCTTCTTCCAGGGTCTCCACAGGGTCGATCAGTTTGTGTCTCTTCAAGGCTGGGGCTATCTGATGCTGCTGCAAGTGAGTCTCACAGAAAGAAGTCAGACAGTCCAGACAGGACTTCAGGGCTTTGAGATTCGCCCCAGTGCAGACATCACAGAACACTTCTCCAGGCACAGTAGGGTGATGGTCTGAACCACTAATAGCTTTCACCTAAACTGACTTCCTGAACTTAACAGCCATCTCAGAGATGAAAGTATTGACTAACAGATCTGGTCTACTAGAAAACGTTTTCTTACATACTGGACACTGGCACAGATCAGTAGTATTCCAGTATCTGCTGATACAGGCCTTGCAGAAGTTGTGTCCACACAGAAGAGAGACAGGCTCAGTGAACACATCCAGGCAGATAGAACACATGAACTGCTCTTCAGACAGGACAGTGTTGCAGGTAGCCATATCTAAAGAGACAAAGGTGGAATTATGAAACGATAAAGCTTTTCCTGATTCAGTTGACTCATATTGTTTGAGACTCAACATTTTGAATAAACAGATTGTTTTAGAGAAGTGTCATGCTGTGTTTTTACATCATTATAACTATCAATCTTGATATAAAGTTGTACTATTTCCTTCTAGTTTGCATTTCGGCCTTTAACGTAAAGCAGAATAGTTTTCCATAGGCTCACTATAGATAGATAGATAGAGACAACAGGAAAACGTCTAATCATGGTTAGGCTAGGCTATGGGTTGTAAACTGTCCTTTCACACCTCTGGCCCTAGCCAAACCGATTGGTTGCTAAGGTCATGGTTGCCAGGGGCCTTATCACACCTTTGGGTCAGCCAATTACAGGCAGTGATCTTGAGTCCCAGATTCCCAATTCCTGCCTCCCCCTCTGTCTCCTTCAAGCAGTCACAGAGCAGCAAGCTCATCTCTGTCCTGCACATTAAACATCTGGACTCACATCTCTGGACATGTGTGACGGTGTGCATGTCCAAAATGAATATGTAACATGTATATAATTATTCCTTGTTGTTCTTTATAGTTTTTACTATTGCATTCTGCCTCTGTGTATATCATTGTTGTAATATGCGCAGGTGGCATAGCCATCTATACAGTCTTTTATTACCTTTATGCTATGGTATGTATAGTGTATTCATTCCCCCCGTTTTCTGTCCATTACAGAACCACTACCATTCCACTACCTTTTCATTCATGTGTGTGTCAATAAAGTATCCTAGTGTGTAACTCTGAGGTTGCCTTATTCCCCTCTTAGCGGTGGAGGTGCTAGCGGGTCAGATCAGCCCAAACGGAGTCGCACTCTTTCATGGTCCTTCGAGACAGATTTGTGACTTCCCTAGCACCACTATGGCAGCTTCTTGGGAACACACAGGGTACTTGACATACAGCCAGTCTGCAATCTACGGGAGGGATCGGTGGACCCATTACAAAATATATTTTAAACTTCAGTCATTTAGAGCTCTTATCCAGAGCGACTTACAGGAGCAATTATGGTTAAGTGCCTTGCTCAAGGGCACATCAACATATTTTTTACCTAGTCAGCTCGGGGATTCGAACCAGCAACCTTTTGGTTACTGGCCCAATGCTCTTAACCGCTAGGCTACCTGCCGCCCTGGCCCCCTCCTCGGCCCCAGCAACATTGCTGAGCGCATTTGGTGGAGGGACTGAGCATGGACGTACCGCCTCTGCCACTTGGCTAGGGAAGTCTGCACCTACAGAAGTGCCAGCCCACCTTGGTCCTGCAGCATCGCCAGCAGGGGACGTCAGATATATCGCCTACCATCACCCTGTCTCCTCCCCATTGCCACGTGGTGAACTGCAACAAGCGGACATGTGGAAGCAGGAGTGCAAGAGGATGTTCATGTCATTCCTACAGTAGCGCTATCCTGGCTGTTACACCTGGCTTCCTAGTGCCTAGTGTCGGTGGCAGCCCGCAGGGAGGTTCTGCCGCCTCCCAGACTCTATATAACAGAGCAGGGATCTCTTCCGCCACACCCAGCACCACAGATCCTGCCGTTTTACTGCCTGCCTGTGGCCCAGCGACCGCCAGGATGACAGACAGTCCGGTCGCCTTCTGAGCCGGCCCAGCGATCTCCGGGACTAGAACCATTCCGGTCGCCACCAGTGCTCGAGCCAGCACTTCAGCTGACAACGGAGACAGCACCACAGCTGGTGCCTCAGTCAGTACCCCCGCCTAGCACAGGGCCGTAGGCCCCTTTACTAGGCCAGTAGCAGCCAGAACACCTGCTGACCCAGTGCTATCTATCCCGCAGACGCCTGCCTGCTACTAATCCTGATGAACTGTCCTGCCCTGGTTTCGTCTGGGGTCCCAGCTGCAGCCCCCAGTCCACGACTCACACCATGTCCTGAGGGCCCATCCTCTCCTGACCAAGCTACCACCCTGGGTCCCAGTGTGGAAGTCTGTGAAACCCCTGTCCAACCAGCACCGCCCGACCCAGCACCAGTCTTGTCCTGCGGCCGCTGGACTCCTCGGACCTACCACCACTGATTCCTGGCCCGGCCTTAACCCACCGGGGTCTGCTCCAGACCCTCCTCTGGTTCCTGCAATGGGGGGGACAGCCCGCTTCGGTTGGGGAACCACCGCCGCCGAGACTGTTCTCCTCTGCTGGGGCACAGCCCGCCTCTTTGGGGGAACCACCACCGCACCTGCTCTTCTCTGCTGGGGAAAGGCCCACAAGCGGTGTGAACGGGCCCTTAACACTCCTCCACCCCCTCTCTTCGGAGGGCAACATTATTGCTCTTTATTTGATCAAGGCCAGGGTTCAATCACAGGTATGTTGTCGCAGTCGACAAGCGCACCTGCCTTTAAAATTCGCCTTTTAAAGGCATTTTCCCTGATGTTCGCGGAGATCGCATTCACACTAATTGCTGCAGATGTCGGCACAAGTGTAAAATACCTTTAAAAGTCAAGTGCAGTGCGCTTGTTGAAAATATATATTTGATGGAATCCTGGCCCAAGTTACAATAAAGTTTAAAATAGATATTTGATGGAATCCTAGCCCAAGTTACAATAGAGTTTAAAATAGATATTTGATGGAATCCTAGCCCAAGTTACAATAGAGTTTAAAATATATATTTGATGGAATCCTGGCCCAAGTTACAATAGAGTTTCAATTATTATTACTTATGTATTGTTTTGTATCATCATACTTCATCATATATGATTTACGTATGTAATCACCCTACATACGAAATGGCTATACTTACATATTGCTGTCCTTTTCACCAATATCCACATTCAATGCATCCTTCTTTTCACCCAGTTTGCTGTAATAGACTCTCATGATGTCATGGGGC